TCTTGAAGTTGAAATCGATGAATCTTTCTGTATTTATTTGTTAACAAGTGACGAAATATGACATATACACAAGCACAAAATCTGACAGCTGCAACAACGATAAAGAAATGAAGAAAGTAGAAATTTGTTCCGGTTTTCTAACAAAAATATCATACCAACCAAGACCATGAGATAATAATCTACGACTAAGAAAAATCAACATAATAAAAGGAAGAACAGTTTTAGTTGAATGAATGTCGTCTGCCAACACATCTTTGTTTAGCAGGTGAGTGATGGGCAGACCATTGTTGTAATTGTAATACTTCACACGGTTGTTCTGGATTCGTTGAATCACAATCATTTTCACTTGATGAACCATCATTACCACTGGCACTAGACAGAAACAAAAACGACGTGACGAATAAAAGTTGCTAAAACAATTGTTCTTTGGGTTTTTTTCATCAAGTCGACTTTTTTCAACTATGAAACTTCTTTTAGATTTCAGTGGTAACACAAACACCAAAATCCAATAGGTATAAGCAAAAGAACGAAGAATGGTATAAAAATTTCTAGATATTTTTCCGAAATTTTTCGGGCTGATGACGTTTTTTGTTCATTATTTACTGATGTAGGTTTCAATTTTTTTTGAGCTCTTATAGGCGAAAAATAGATAATTCTTTTCCTAAAATCGGAGAAAGCTCTAGCAGAAATCTTCAGAAGCAGGGTCCTCTAAGGGATACCATTCTCCACATGCATACCAGTCGCACCGTCCTTGTAGTTTTGATTCATCACATCAAATCTCAACGATTGCAGTTGTCATATGGCTTTTTCGACTCTATTGCCGATGCTGACTCTGAATATTGATTTAAGATCCTGTTGCATTTTATGAGTTTTGATTAGAGATCTGCACGTCCTACAAAAAAATATTTTATCAGCACTGGTTGTGTACGGGTGCGCACCAATACCGAATAATTTTTTTTCTGGGCACCGATGCGCATCGGTACCAGAAAGAATGTAAAACTCTCGCACCGGTGCGCATCAGTGCCGAAGTTTTGTTTTCCATCACCATTTTATTTTTCAATTTCTGTGTATATTAACACCACAGTCTACTTCTAATATTTCGAATGTCTTTTTGACTTCATCTTTTCCTTCACATAAGAGAAGTACCGAGGCAATGCCACATGGTTTTGGCATGTCAATGTGATACTGATCAGTGCCGCACTGTCAGTGGCGGCGCAAGGTCAGTTTTTCAGGGGAAGCAATAAACTTTAAAATGAAATTACGTTCGCTATAGTCCCTTTCTCTCTGTTCGCATAGTACACAATTCGTCAGTAAAATTTATTCTAGCAAATATACTGAAAAGCGCCAAAATTTTGAGGGAGCAATAAAAGTTTATTGCTGGAAGCAATTGCTAACCCGTTGCTTGCTGGTGCGCCGCCACTGCGCACTGTAATACAAAATTCAGCATAAACAACCATAATAAAGAACTAATTAAATTGATTAAATAAATTATCAGTGCGGCACCGACTTTTGCCAGTGCGGCATCCATGCGGCACTGATTTTTACCAGTACGGTATCTTTTGGGCAGAAATATATCGGCACAGGTGCGCACCGGTGCCAATCAGTGCCAGTGACCGATGGCATGCCATGCCCACCGGTGCGCACTGATTTTTACCAGTGCCGCACTAGAATTTTTTTTATAAGGCAACATAATATACACGCGTAAACGAGAAAATATTTTTCATATACGGACTATCATATGCAATCAGCTAGGAAAAAATGTCCTATCTCTTCTACAGATAATTTACAGACGGGTACGAACAAGCACGGGCAACGAAAAAAATTCACGGACGGGCACGAACAAGTACCCTCAGTAGAGTTATGGACACGGGCAAAAAAATCTTGCCCGTGTAGATCTTTGATACTTTTTGATACTTTTACATCGCCTCCTCATAAAAAAATTGCGTAAATCAGATTTAGACGACATCGATGAGAAGGAACAAGCAGTCTTTTACGATTACGTAAGGAAATAAGAAAATAGGTGGTAAACACGATAAACTACACTTACTTCGTCATTGGAACGCGTTCTTCACCGTTACTGAAGTAGCTTAAACATTATCATTCGTGTATTATTAGTAGAAAATTTCCTCCGTTATATAGACAAATTTATCCTACGAAAAACACTGATAAACTGGTAAAGAATGTTTTTTTTATAAATATGATGAACTTTTACCTTTTTGATTCAAAACGCATAAGTTTATCTTGTGAATAGATATTGTAAATCGTGCTGTTGTCTTAGTGAGTGTTATGTCAGCGCTCACAAATTAGACAATACGATTGACTTAATTGCACGGGAATAGAGAAAGGAGAGAATGGTGAGATATATCCCAATGTCCATACAGATCATCTGTCCATCAACTTGAGCATTGCTCAAGAGATCGATTTCTATGATCTCAACGTAACCCAAACCACCCTAAACAACAATATGAACGAAAGAACATATGCAAGTGTGACTCCTAGTTGTCCTTAAAACTAATTATGGATGATTTTTGATGTTGATCATGAATCTGACATCCGTATCTGTCACTAGATCTTTTTTGGACGAGTTTCTGAAGTGAAGATTTCCAAAGATCCATCACAAACGCTGAGATGAACCAGTTCTGATATAGTCAGTTTTGAGAGCATATCGAGTTACTTGTGCCTGCAAGCTCTTACATCCAAAAAATGATTTCTCATTTCTAAGTTCGTCATGGATCTTTGGAAATCTACACTTCAGAAACCTATCCAAGACAGATCTAATGACAGATACAGATATCAGATTTGTGATTGGCATCAAACATTATCCATAATTAGCTACGTTTTAAGGAAAACTGGAAGTCATACTTGCATATGTTTCTGCGTAAGTTGCTCTCTTTTTGTCTAAGTTCTTCGAAAAACAATTTCAAAGCAGAGAAATACAATGCAAAAAAATTGAACTAAAACAGTTTCAACTTACAAGGGTTCGCATCTATTGCTCCGAACGACATTGTCAGTGATGATAATAACGTTATTTACAACGGAATTGATTGTTTCTCAGGAGAGCTTTTTTCAAAACTGCTGTCTGTCAGTTGACCTGTTTTGCGTTTATTCTATGCGCTGGAGCATGATGAATTTAATTTCAACATTTCTAGCTCCAAAATAGTCTAATTTCACTGAAATCATGCTAGCTAGCTGTCTGCCAGTGTAACCATTAGTGCTCCTGGCAATGTTATGAGGCCGTAAGAATGAACTTCGCTATAAGAGTCAAAAAATTTCAAACAAAAAACGGTTTCACAATTTTTGCTATCGCTCGACACCATCGACTAGGTAATACCAGTAAAAGGAAACCGAATAGAATCATCCGTCTCAGAAGTTTATAGGGGGATCCATAAGGGGAGAAAACCCCACTTTAATTGGGTGCCTAAGTTCTGAGTTCAAATTCCACATCTTCCGAAAGGTTTATTACAATCTAATTGGTTTATTACAATTTAAATATTTAATATCTACACAATTTCCGAAAAGTTTATTTTATCTGTTTTTATATTAGGTTTCGTGGTTTGCGTATGATCTGAATTATGATTCCGTTCATTATCGTCAATGGAAATCTCTGTTATCACATTATTTGTTAAACGATGTCTCGTTGAGTTAAACAACGACTGAAGATCATTCGCATTATTAATTCTCATCTGTTTGAACACAGAAGTTGTTTTGACTAATGTTTGAGCAGTCGAAAATGCTCCTTCAATCAATGCAGTTATATCTGCTGTAGACCGGTTCCTAGCATCCCAACATTCTTAGTTACTTTTTCTTATCCATAACGAGGAAAAATTAGCACTCACTACTGCTCAAATCTTGTGTAAAACAGAAAAATGAACGCGACATTTAAATGTTGTTAAATTTCTGAGCATAGGACTATTATTAAAAAATTTCCTGTTCATTCTCCATTCATCATAAAACCTGGTTCTATTCTTAATCGATAGAGAAATGTGTGAAGAATATTTACTACGAGAAAATATGCAAAAATTCTTGTATTTTCCTTTCTGTTATTGACTAACTAACGTTAATTTAGTCTACTTTACTAGTTTATAGTCTCATTTTCAAAACAATGACTCAACGAAAACATTCAAGTAATACCTCATCTGACACAGAATTTCAAGGCTACAATATAGGTAACCATAAAATTTTTAACTGCGCAGTAAATCTGATTTTGTTACAGAAAGAAATTGGTCAAGCAGTGTGAGCGCGTTTTCTGAGAACAACGACTATGTTTTTAGTGGGATACAAACAGACCTCAAGTTCACCCATGTTGTAGCCTTGAAATCCCGTATTAGATGAGGTATTGCTTGGATGTTTTCGTGAGTCATTGTCTGGCTGATGATAATTATACTCCGCAGATCTTTTTCTACTGTCAAAAGCGAGATTAAAATCAACAAAGGACTAAATACGACCCATTGCTCTTCCTCATAATTTAGATAAACTTTATTGAAACACCTTTAAAGTATTTCTTCTGAAATTTATCATCGTTTTAGTCCTCTTTCTGTCTTTTTCGATGTTGATCGTCCAGTTACTTTTTCTCTATTTTTTAATTATTTATTTATAGTTCATGCTTTTTCTTTTATTTCGTTCATTATCTAACGTCACTCATTTGTTGCTTCACTTGAGTCATTGTTATTATAAGTCGTGGACCTTTCGTGAATTAATCAGAGAGGTAATTAAACACTATCTCAATATCTCTTACAGCAAAATTCAGCCATGTTTCTAGCCATAAAATCGTGTTAATTGTTGTTTGTTCTCTTAACGTTTAATTTCTGTTTAACATCATTCTTTGATCTCTATGTTGCATACTCTAGCTTCGTTTTTCTTTTATTTATTTCTGGTTCTTTTTTTCTATTTCATTTTTGTAGTTTGATCATTGTTCGAGTCATTGTTATTACAGGTCGGGGACCTTTGATGACTCCTAATTTTCGTGAATAAACTAGTCTTAGTCTTAGGGACAAATTAAATTATGTTCCACTAGAACCCGAGCCCGTTGCAGATAAAATATCGAGTGCCATTAAACTATTAACAACTTGTTCAAATTTTTTTGATTTCAATTGTGTATTTGGTTCATAAAATGGATTTGATATGGCGTCAATATAAGCTTGGTGCAAACGTTGAAATAAGGTTCGTATTTCGTTATCTTTTAATAACGATGTTGATTGTTCGAAAATAATAACAAATTTGACGCGAGTATTGGTAACATAACCATAGCTAATTAGAATGTTAAGGTTATAAAATCTAGAAAAACGTTGCTCTATCCACAAACTAAAAATACAAATAGTCAAAAAAAGGATACATTTTATATTCTTCCACGGTACATAATAAACCAAAATAAAAATCTCTTGAATCACGATCAGTACTTGGTTTTAACAGTAAACTTATTTTCTCTTCTAATATGTCGATGCTGGCATGGATAAGAAAAAGAAACTTTAATTCTTCTGACGAGCGTCTCAAATAAATAAGATTCTAAAAGTAAAATTAGAAACACATTCATTTTCCAAAAGAACCTATGCGTATTGACTTACTTCTTTCAATAAAATCGCAACACAACAAGACATAATGTGTGAATCTAGAAGAAAAGAGAAAGAAAGATTATATCCAAGCAAGATTGAACAATTTATCCAGATTTGGAAATAAAATTGGTAGAAATAGGTTTTATCATTGTTCTTCAACAACCTTTTCATCTCTTACTATTAACATGACACTTAGCCATGTTACACTCATTCCTCTGACTAATTTTTTCTTGAAAAGAAACAAAATCTTTAAAATACGGAAAGAAATTTTACGTTATTAAATAGACCATTTCTTTTGAAAGAACATACTATAGAAAATATATAAGCGTCACTCATTAACTTAATTAAATTCATTATTTTGTCATTTTGTTACCACTGCAGTTCTATAAAAACACATTTTTTCTTACCTCTCATTGGTCAATATATCACTTTTTCAACAAAGTTAATCTTATCTAGCACCATTTCCAATACTATCTAGTGGCACTAGAGGTCGACACACGTCAGCAGCAAAGACTGGCTGCAGGAGCTCTTTTCATCAAAATTCTTCTCAAAGTTTTTTTCCTAAAAGTTCTCAACCTTTTTACTTAAACTCATCTTAATTAGAGTAACCCATCTAAAACCCACGACTTTATAAAAAGCATTGGAACCAAATCAGCGATACGACGAATTTCTTTATTATACAGCATGTTTTTTTGTAGATGACTCAAAGACCTTGGTTTTCGAAATCGAAGCACATTCTAGGATATTTAAATTTTAATGTCACACAAAAACTGCTGAGATATGATGTTATCGTTCATATGTTTTGAGAAATTCTGGATACTTGGTAGCAACATTTAAGTTGCATATTATTATGTAGCGCTCACTAGAATCTACTATTTGAGAAAAATAAAAAGTTCGCCCTCAAGAGAAGGTCTCAGAATTTCGCGTAGTATTTGAAGTAAAATACAAACAAAATATATTAAGGTGCCGGAAATTCGAAAATTTAGCAGATTTTTATTTTTGCATTTTTTTATACATGATTGGTTAGAGCTCGTTGGTCCGGAGAAGAAAATATGTGTTGTAACGTCTGAAAAATTTTGTTTTTAATGTCAAAAAATTGAAAAAAATCGAAGGGTCTAAAATTTTGAAAAACTTTTCAGTTTCAAAAAAGTTCAAAGTTCTCTTTTTTTCGTCCTTTTAACTTTTTCATGAACTTTTTCACGCTTTATAAATCGTCTTTCTTGATTTTGTTTCGCGTCACAGAGAAAATTCATTTTTTTTAGATCAGAAGCGAAAAAATCGGAATTCTGATCATACTATTCAGTTTTCTCCATCAGACTCATTTTTATAGAATAAAAATATCATATTCGAAGTCAGCGCTAAAAACTGAGTCGAATGATATACTTTTTTAATGCTATTTTGAGTTTTTGTTTTTGGATTTTCAAGTCGAAAAACTACTCAGATTTTCACCAAAAAATGAAAATCAATGAAAAATCTTGAAATATGTATTATATATTCGACTCAGTTTTGGGCGCTGACTTCGAATATGATATTTTTATTCTATAAAAAATGAATTCTGATCGAGAAAACTGAATAGTGTGGTCAGAATTTCGATGTTTTCGCTCCTGATCTAGAAAAAATGAATTTTCTCAGTAACGCGAAACAAAATCAAAAAAGACGATTAATACTTCTAAACCGCGTTCAACGACGGTTCTAATGAAGTAAAAAGCTCGGCTTCATCACTTCACAACAAAATCTAAATAGGTTTACAAAATTGTTAATGAACCTTTTACAAGGCGAGTCCAAGACGTCCATACTGGATAGACTTTTGACTTCAACCTTGACCAAGCATCGGATTCATACTGAGTTTTTAATGCTGAATCTTTAATAGGGAGAAACTGGAATGTTCTTAAGTAATGTCATAATGAGAAAGGTCAAATACAAGAAAATTAAAGTCGATTCGTTTCGTCGCAGCTTTAACCTTTACTTGCCTTCATTGTTTGTTCTTTTTAGATAACGAAATACTATGTAAATATCAAAGTTATTGTGCGTTGTACAACAGGAACCTTAAACCTATGCGTCAATGCCCAAAGAATTCAAAACAAAAGTGCCCCGTGTTATCTGATATACCTGGTATAAACATAGAAAGGCTAATGCAACCAGAAGTTTGCAATTACATTTCTAATTTCGTCTGTTTACCGTTTCACTCAGTCGACTTTCCAATCTATGCGCAGCATAACTGGTCTCTAGTTGTACAGGTCGAATTTGTAACAGATACTCTGTGAGGAATTTCCAGCAGAATTGATCTGGAATTCGACAACTGTGATTTTCACCTCATTGTAGTTTGTAATGCAAGGAGTTTCCAGATCTTTTACAGGAATTCCGAAACTGACGCATCTAAGGGGAACTGTAATTATTGAAATTCCGCGGGAATTGGGGAATCCTACACACCTTCTCTTTCCGGCTCGATTGGTTAATGATTGGTAAAAATTTGAATATTAAGATGAGAAAGGACTATGTTTGTTGTGGAACTGGCGAAACTTGAAAAAGTCCACCCTGATGCACCTAATTCGTAGATTTGTGACTTTCTGGAATTAAAAACTTATGTGTTCTTTCAATTCCTGAATACTTAAATTTCAAGAATTGTTCAAACAAACTCGATATAAATTCAAAGAATTTTTGATTTTTTCGAATTCGAGAAACATTTTCAATTTCTGAATTCTTGAATTAAGATAAAACTTGCTGTTTACTTCTGAATTCTTTCTATTCTGCTGATTCTGAATTTTTGAAATTACAGAAATGGAAAAAACTCGATATTAATTCTTGAATTCTTTCTTATCTACTAATCTTGAAAATTTTCTTCAGTACAGAGTTCTATAAACTCCGCTGCCTCTTACTCATACTTTCACAGAAAGAAAACGGCAGCAAAGTTGTCTGAGTATAGGCTAACTTCTTTCGCCATCTATAGGTGAAAGCATGCAGAGGTTTGAAACAAAAATCAACATTGAAAAAATCGAATAATATCCTGATGAGAAAATTCATTTAAGAGTTCAGAAAGGGATCAGGTCCCGTTATCTACGGATATGGTTAAGAGCAAGATTCTACGGTCGAATAGAAGATAATGAAAATAATGACTCATTCGAAACAGCTGACGCTTTCAATGTATAGGTGTAAACTCTTACTCCTAAGATACCTAAAATCGGAAACGTTATTTATGTTTGTTCCACTTTTAGAGTAAATCATTGAAGGTCTTAAAGGAGATATTCCTCATCACCACATTCGAATTGTTTGACTTAAGGCATAAAATTTAATCGATGGATCTTGAGGTAAATTTGGCAGAAAATTGGCTAATTATATGTGGATCTTTTTGTAAAGTACTCGACTAACCTCTATTAAAAGCTGTCCTCGAATATTTCACTTGTGCGGGCATAATAGGCTGTTATGTTACAATGTCGGATTCGCAGAGGATGTAATTAGGAGAGAAAGATTTCGTTTTTCATCAGCAAAACACTGTTTTGAATAATTTAAAAGCTTAGTGACTCTACCGTTTAACAAGTTCTATATATTCTACAGGTTTAATTAAGATAATTTTATGTTTATGATTTATTCAGTTGTACATCCAAACTGGAATCATCTCGTCTACCCATTGAGAAATTTATATGTTAAACCTCACATTTCCATTTGACTGTGGTTTTGATCGTGATACCTTAGCAATACTGTATGAACCACAGTCATCTGTATAGAAGACTAAAAAGTTCCAGACTTCCACTACACTTCAAGGTACTCTGCGTTACTCGTATTTGAACGAGCGTCCGCTGTGCGTCATATCAGGACACGACTAGATGAATGAAAGAACAAAGTCGTTGGTAGTCACTTTGAACCAGTTTTTCACATGGATTGGACTGAAAATTTTTTGAGCTCATTGGCTCCGACTGAATTGGACTCAAACTTTCAAGACCATGGACTTGTGTGGACTCGAAAAAAGCTTTGGGTTCACTTGAATCGAAGAATAATCAGTAAAAAAACATGTTGTTTTTGTATTATGGACTGAACTGGATGAGTCGATGGACTGAAAAAACTATTTTTCATGGATTCGAACTGGACTGCGTTGTTTTAGTCCATGGACTGAACTGGACTCATAATTTTTAGTCTATACGGAACTCTGGTGATTACAATGGAACGCATTGGTGAGCGAAAATTATTTTCTTCTATAGATCGGAATATTTCGATTCAGTAAACCAAGTTAATGAGTACATCGCCGTTGACCGATGTGAATTTCTAACGATTACTAGTACAGTAGTTTTGCAATAGGTGCGGAGAAAAAGAATCATAATGATAAAACACTAACTCTTAACATACCATTACTATTTCCAAATCTGAAGTATTTGCAAATAGATTTTATTTTAGTTCATAAATTTTCAAGATCAATAAAGCTTTCTAAACAAATGACAATTGTAAGATAAAATGATGTCGTACCTGATTGTGCTTTGTATTAAAAAACGGATTATAAAACTAAGGATCTTGCGTGGATATTGCACAAAGATTAGAAAGTGGTGTGGGAAAATTTAAACTTTGACAGACAGTTCATAGTCAAAACGAAACTTTTTGAGATGCACACCAGAGCTCCTTATGGACTAGACTGGACTGGAAGTCTTTTGAGTTCATGGACTTGGATTGGGCTGGACTAGATTTTTCCAGTCCATGGACTGTACTGGACTCAGAATTTCGAGTCCTTGTGGGGCTCAGATACACACGCTGATGAGAAAACGCAAAAAATTTAGTCAGTTAGAAAATCTCTACCCTATTTGGAAACACTGATTAGGAAAGAAAGGAAGCAGAACATTTCCATAATAGAAGTTTCAAATGTAAAAATTATGTATACTTTGGTTTTTGACAGTTGATTATTTTGTAAGCCTAATTACGTGATAGTTAAAGTATATATTAAAAGAGTAAAATCTCGATCATAACGAAAAGAAAGTGTGTAGTAAAAAGAAAAACATTTTTGTTTATGAAATGTATAGCCAATCTTCTTTTGTTTCACTCAGTCGACTTAAATAAACGAGCAATCAGTAAACGAAAATCAATACATAAAATAGAAGACCAAAAGACATTCTGTTATAATAACAAACGCTATTCTTCATCTAATCACTACAAGCACACATTTCCTTTTTTATTTTTGTTTATCATTATTTCAAAAATGGGCCATATTCCTCCAGTGATGGACGAAATTAGAGATGAACTATTCACTTTACTTTGTCAAACAATAAGCAAGCTTATTCTTTCTCAACAAGAAAACTGAAATGAGGAAAGAAGAAAAATTTCATTCGCTTCAATTGGTCATTTTCTGCAATTGATCAAGCAACTCTTGTACTTGAGAAAGTTTAGTAAAGCAAAAATGTTGATTTTAGATGTTGTAAAATAGATGACTAGTGAAGAAGCATCATGCCAGAATATCAGATAGAAGGTTTAACGGTAGATTTTCCATATGAAGCCTATACGTGTCAATTATCTTATATGGAAAAAGTTATCAAATGTTTGAAAGAGGTACATGTTATTTCACGATGCAGCTAGTATAAATATTCACATGTCAATTCTTTTTCGTAGGAAAAAAATGGAATTTTAGAATCACCTACTGGTACTGGAAAAACATTATGTTTATTATGTGCATCATTAGCTTGGCTTCAGTCGTACAAACAACACTGTAGTCAAAATCAGCGAGAACCTACTGGTAAACGATTAACAGAAAAATTGAATGGATCTCAGGATGGTTTTGTTGTTTTAGAACAAGTTCAAATTATTTATGCATCGCGAACACATTCACAGTTATCTCAAGCTATTTCTCAGTTGAAAATAACCAGTTATAGGTAGATTCTTATCTCAGCATTTTTGTTTGCTAGTTGAGTCTACTTTCTTTCTAGAAATATAAAAACAGTCGTATTGGGATCACGTGATCAATTATGTCTTGATTATGATGTAGCAAAATTGGAAAATAGTACCGATAAAGTAAACCATTCTACTCTATTCAACAACAAAAAAACACACTTGAACATGCTTACTCTTCATATTTTTTAGATATCAGTTTGTCGTGAAAAAGTTCGTCGTCATCAGTGTGTATTTTATTCAAAATTTGATAGTATGTTGAATACTACTGGTACCGGTTTCGATCAACCATCGCATGTTTTCTTTCTTTCAAAGGTATCAAATCAACATTATCCGAACTGCCAATAGGTGATATTGAAGATATGATGAAACATGGGCGGCAAAAAAAGTAGACCTTACGCATCTCAAGATTGTTAAAGGATAGTCTATAACATTTTTCTACATTATTTCAGATTTTGTCCATACTATGCCGCACGTGAAATGAAACAATATTCTGATCTAATATTCATGCCATACAATTACCTGATCGATATTAAAGTATAGCAGATTATTTCATAAACACTTTTGTTCACTTCTTTTTGTTCCTGTTTTATAGGCACGTCGTACACACAGTATTAATTTACGAAAATGTGTGATCATATTCGACGAAGCACATAATATTGTAGGTAGAGAATACAATCGTTTTTGGATGATGTCTCTCGCGACACATATTCGTTTGTTTTGTTTCAAGGAGCAAATATGTGAAGAAAGTGCATCAATTGCTCTAACATCTGTGGATTTAGCCGCTTGTTTAGAAGATATAAGTGGTGTGATGAGATGGATGTCCGATTGTCAAACAACAGCAGAAAATGATGATGTAGATATTAGTAATATTTCGTTCGATCGTGATCAAATGATTGAATTAAAAGGTATCTGCTAAATGTTTTGGGTAGATTAACGTTGAGGGCAAGATTGTTCATTAATTTAGAAAAAGTAAAAACTATGGAAGATTTACTGGATGCTAAACCGTTAAATAAACAATCCCCACCTGATGTATATCCTGGCAGGTAAACGTTTTTTTTAATTATTGACAAAATAGTTTATAAAGTGAAGCCTAATTTTTTGCCAACTTTAGTTGTGCAATCGAATGGTTAACAAAAGCTGGCATCGATATTGTATCTAAACGAAGTGTCGTTAAATTATTAGAAGATCTTAATACATTTATGTCTGCGCAAGGTAAGACTGTTACTAATATAAAACTAAAGAGTTTTTTATATTATTTTGATTTTAGCAACGAACAATTTTCGTACAAAAGGACATGCTCTAATGAAATTATCAAGTTTTATTGAAGTAACTATTTTGTTTACTTTTTATTTTTGTTGATAAACAAGTTTCTATGTTAGACAGTGTATCCATCAGATGAAAATGGAAATCCATTATTTCCTCAACGATTAACTGAACAAATAAATTCATGTTTCAGGGTATGAACTGTACTCGTTTAAAACACATTATTTCATCTTTCTGGTGTGTTTAGGTATTTGTTACAGAAGATAAAGATAAGAATAAACGACAATGGGAAAAACCCAAAAACTCGAGTAGAAGTCAGTATATCATTTATCACTGATTCTGAATACTGTGGGTATACTGTGGGTATTTTTTGTTTAGTTTTAAAAAAATTTGACTTTATGTGTCTTAGTCCGGGTTACTCAATGAGAAATTTGGCAATTCAAAATCCACGTTCAATTTTATTAACAAGTGGTACATTAACACCGATTCAATCGTTTCAGACAGAACTTTCAATGTATATGCGGATAAATCACGTATCATGACTTCAGTTGAACATGTTCTTGTTTCGCACTTTCAGTCCGTTTGATATAACACTTCAAAATAATCATATTATAAAAGACAATCAAATTCAAGTAGCAATTTTAACTCAAGGGGTTGATAAAGAACCATTTAACTCGAGTCATAAAAATCGGTTTGCAATGATTTTACACATTTAAAATAACTGTAGTTTGCTATATTCTATCATATATTTAGATCAAATCGAAAATATGTGATGAGTCTTGGTCTGACGCTTGAACATGTTGCTAAGCGAATACCAGGTAGAGGAGGGAGAGAGACAGAAATAGATTCACAATCTATATAGATTTTGATTTTAGGTGGAGCATTGGTATTTTTTTCATCCTATCAAATGGTTGATGATGTTACAACTATGTGGAAAGTAAATAACGTTAGAAAAATTGCTGTAAAAATGTATTCTTTAGTGAATTTCATAGGAAATGGGAATATACAATAAAATCGATCAAGTTAAAAAGATTATTATTGAACCAAGACGTAAAGTAGCATTTGAAAAAGAAATGGATACCTATAATCAGTGTGTGAAAGACTCAAGAGGTTGTATGATGTTGGCTATTGCGCGTGGCAAGGTAAGCTTTAGTGTTCTCCAGTAGCGGATCCAGAATTGTTTTTTTGGTACGTGCGGTATACGATAAAAGTGCGAGATACGTGCGGTCGTCATAGAAACAAATTATTCTAAGAGAGATCTGCTGGGAAAAAACAGTTTTTTGGTTAAAAGGTGCGAGCGGCCGCTCGTACCACTCGCGGGCTGGATCCGCCACTGGTCTTCTCGAATGTAAAAAATGCATCATATTTGTTAATATTACTGCATAGGTTGCAGAAGGAATCGATTTTAGTGATGATACATGTCGTGCAGTGATCATGGTGGGTTTACCGTATCCTCCAGCTTTTGATCCTCGTGTTCAGATAAAAAAACGTTATCAAGATGAAATGGTGGATCAACGACGAAAAGCAGCATTGAACATAAATAATCAAGTTCCTGTAATTGCATATAAAGAAAACTTTTTTCCGTATTCTTGTTGTATTTCTACTTTGAAAGATGCTTAATGGTGACAGTTGGTACAATCAACAAACATATCGTACAATTAATCAATGTGTAGGACGAGCTATTCGTCATCGTCATGATTATGGTTCGATATTGTTTTTCGATGAAAGGTAAACGGTAGTTCTAAACTTATCAACACGATAGTGAACAGAATTATCGAAACTCTTTCTTTTTCACTTGAGATTTGTTAATACAAAAGACCAGTTATCACAATGGTTACGACCGCATGTTCAACAGCTTAAATATACAGAACTAATTCAAGATATTCGAGAATTTTTCAAAACAGCAGCTACTGAAGTGAATAAAAATACTGGTTTGATCGGGATTTTTAAAGCAGAAACTCTTCTTATTTTCTAGTATCCTACAGAAGTAAATTCTAGTGTACCCTCCAAAAACACCACCAGTGATGTGATTGGTCATGCTCAGTTTATGCCAACAGATAGTGCCGGTATTTTATTAAAGGATACAACGTCGAAAAAAATTATGTCGACAAATCATGCTGATATAGCATTAGCTTTAAGTCATATAGGTTCGGTAAAAGAAAAGCACACATCTAGTAAACATTATTGTATTCCATATCAATTGGTTTTTAGGACCAACAATGGTTTTTCAACCAGAACCTGAATTCGTTTCTTATCCTCGAACTACATCATGTTTCGATGCAATTCAGGCTGTTCAAACGCGTGTATGTATCAGAAGGCCTGTCATGTCTAATTTGGACTCATTTTGTTTCATATTAGGATAAGCAAGTATCGTCATATTCAACAATATCGTTCGATAGCGTACGTATGAGTTAGCTAAGGGAAAAGAAAAAACAATCTTAATAAAATCTATACTTTTTAGGAACAAAACAATTTCCTATCAATGTTAGAAGAAAGACGCAAATGTGATGGTGGTGCAGTAAAGAAGTCTTCAATTAAATTAACAGCACCATCAACAACAGTAGCAGTACCACCACCACCACCACCAGTAGCAACAACAACAACAACAAATGTATCGTTTTCTTCCAACATTTAATAATTTCTGACATTTAAGATTGGTTCTGTTTATTTAGTTCGATGAAAAATCAGTAGTATTGAATGAAAAAAAAGTTAAAGCAAAAGATTTTTTAGAACAAGTAAGGAATTCTTCCTTTCTCCTCATAATTTGCAGAGATCATAACTATGATGATTTTAAGATGAGAGCTGCTTTATCTCAATTATCTATGGGACAAATATCAAAACTAATTGATATTTGTGGTCAGAATCCCCTAGATGAAAAAGCGTATGATAAATTAAAAGTATTGTTAGCCGATAATCTAGTTGAGCATCATCAACAACTTTTACGAGGTAAGGAAGGCGATTATTATTGTAGAAAAAATACGTTTTATACCAAAATGTTTCTTACTCTTAACAGATTTTCGTCGATATATAAACAAAAAATTTCGCGATAATTATGATCAATATTGTAAAATGAGAATTGATAATTTATCCAAAACACAAATAGATTCAGATTCATCAGTTGTTGTTCTTTCATCGACAAATGGAAAACGCGCATTTGATAGTGGTGATTGTGCGAACAAATGTACGTGATATTGACTTTTGAGTATATCTTTTGAAATATCTTGCGTTATAGTGTATAGGATTTGTTAGAAACTATCAGACATACTCAGAATTAGTTTAGTAGATTATTTCAGTACATTTATTCATTTATTTTAGCTTTCAAAAAAGTGTGTACTGCTCAAGTTGATACGTAACACATGACTGATGTGTCTAATTTCTACGATGCTAGTCAAATATTTTACATTCTTTTCACATTGTAAATTTCAAATCAAATATATATATTTGTTTCATGGTATGCAAGAAAATATATCCATATTGTGCTTTTTTTTGCCACAAAAGTATATCAGTCAGATAAGTATTTCAGCTAATTGTGAGCTTTAATAAATAAATATTGTTCAATAATGGTATTTGATAAATCTTTTTTTTGATACATTGGAAGAAGTGGAAAACACAATGCTATGGGATAACAATATGATGATAAAGAAATAGGTTACACGTCTTTTTGTCTATTTATTTTTAAAGAAAAAAATCAACTATTAACTATGCTGAACAATATTGGAAAGTCAACTGGATGAAAATCAATCAGAAAAGTTAGAATACTCTATTTAAATGAATATGCTGAAGTTTTTCATTTTTAAAAAAATGAAAAACTTTTGCATATTCATCTTAATATTGAAATTTATTAAAAATCCTCTTCTAAAATGGTTAAATTTTTAATTATATTTAAGAATCAGGTACTAAGTTATCTATAGTGAGGAGTAGTATAAGATGTCAGATTCCAGTAAGGTGTATACGGTGTCACATTCCAGCAGAGCACAGCCACTTAAACAGTCGATTACCTCATTCTGATCCTGTAAGTCTTTAGTAATTCGTATGTGATGGACATACTCAAACGTAATCTTTTAGACTCTTAGTACTGTATTGAAATGCTATAAAAAAATTTTCGTGATTTGTCTTTTTTTTCATTGTTCGTTCTAAACATCACTCTATTCTACAAAGAACTTTAGTATAGCGCTGGAACAAAGAAGCCAACAATGCCAATACGCACGCCATGCTGTTCAACACTGGTATCAAGTCAGAGCTAATAAACATCGAAATGATACGTGTACTTGACAACGTCGATATATATCGTCCAAAACTGTATTGGAGATTAACTAAAGGTTAATTAATGATGCTACTTAATGCATTATCTTTGCGTTAGTAGCGATTAATTATAATTAATGCGACATGCACATTGATCAATATGCAGCACTAATTATTAAATCATGCGCTGTTATTTAGACACTACTTTTCTGAAAAGCAAAATATAACAAATAAATTTTTAAAAACAAACATGAAAAAATTCAGAGTTGAACGGTTTAAAAACCATAAAAGATTGGTTATTACCTGAACGATACCAATTTCATCGAACCGGATAATAATATTTTTATAAAAACAATTTCAAATTGCTAAAAATCAGCGTCTTTTCTCGAATATCATCTTTTGAGGATGACACGTTGATCTTGTGATCCTTCAAGAGAACATTAGTGCAATTTTTTGTTGAGTTCTTTATACCTGACTTATCAGTGAATGCCAACTTTACTAAAGAAGCACAATTTTAGGCTTCTCCCAATAGATTATCTTATAACAAAATAACAAACCATGTTTTTTACTATGACCTCTTTGAAGCATTTTGACCCCATTGCAACAACAATGATTCACTTATCAAGGAAAGTAACCTGTTTTGTTCATCACCTTGTGCTGCATCGAGTGAGATACTTCACACCAAAATACTCATTATTGCGGCACGGAAGGGCTGGTAAAGGTCAAGACTTACAATTTCTAGCTTGCATTAAATGATGAGGCAAACTATTTAACTCAAACAAGCTCCTTTGCCAGCTAAATAAATTGCTACAAGTAATAAGTTTTCTCAATTAAGTGGTAGGGAATGATTGTTGAATGTATACCCATGCAGATGAAAAAAGTCGTTCGAGGAGTACTGCAAGTACTCGAAAATGGGTCCTCGCCGAGGGCTCGACCGCTCGAAAGATGAGACTTCGGACGCCGGATATAAGCGTTCGAGGGGTTATCGATTACGAGCCCTCGGATTTCAGATAGGTAGCGAGCCGTCGAACAGAGATGTTCGGGACTTTCAGCCGTCGTCGGTGCGACTTGACAACTCGGAATTTTTCTCGAGAGGTCAAAAATGATAATCCCTTGAATGCTTATATCGAGGGTCCGAAGTCTCATTTTCCGAGGGGTCGAGGCCTCGACGAGGACCCATCGAAAGTCGATTTTCGAGCACTCAAAATACCTCTCGAACAAGTGGTTGGGTACCTGCAGACTGAAATGCTACAATCAATGTTCGAACTGGATCTATTCTTTTAGACGATTGCGCAAGAAAATGTGTGTGCTCTGATAAATAAGCTAGCACGCTCTCATTTTCCAACTAGTTTCAGCTAATATTTATTACGAAGTTGACTTTAGACCTTTAATATAGCTAAGTCGTTCAAGTACTACTGCTATGTAATCTTTGGCTCATTTAAATTAAACAATTGCTTCGATGATCAGTTGTCTAACTTCTTGTGCTTAAGACACAGTTTTCTAATCGATAAGCAACTGAGTACATGATATGTTTATTATATCAGGTGGATTCACAAAGGTAAAAGGTCAGACTTTATTACTTTTTTGTAACTGATCTTTTGATAAATTTTGATTATAGATTTCGTATCTAAGTACACTGCTACATAAATATCTGTATCTGCTTATTGTCTTTCTTTTAACTAAGACGATCCTACGCACGAAGTGAGATACAAATATATACTAACGAATGAGAGAAAACACTAAAGTCATTTGATTCTTTTCTCGGTTGTTTATTTGGAAAACGTATCATCAAATCGAAAAGTTTTAAAAACTTCGACGATCAAAACCGGTTGCAGATTCATCTTTTCCATAGTCGATTATCTTGTACACGAAAACTTTTGGATCGGGGTCCTTCAGAAAAAAATTTACTCATGGTTTTTGTTCGAAAAAGTCGCTGCAAGGAGTTAGAGGCAAAACAATGTCGAAATTTTTGTTTGAAGTACTCCGAACCAAAAGTTATCGCGTACAAATCGATTTTGACCGATTGAAGCTTTTAAAATTTTTCGATTTGGTGAGATGTAAAAGGAATATCTAAAAAACTCAAGTAAATCATATCGTAGACGAGTCTTAACTAGTGCGATTCTAATTTTATTCAATATACCGTTTTATTATAGGTACAGTTATATATATAGATAGATAGGCAGAACAAATTCAATTTTGCTTTTCTTTTTTTCTTTCTTTTCCATTGTCACCTGATAGAAAAAGTTATAAGATAAAGAAAGAGAGAAGAACAAAACACATTCGCACTTTTAAATAGTTAAGATAGCTACAAAACATTGCAGAAAAAAAAAAGACGAGTTGTAGCACAAATAAAATAACAAACAATATATCTTCATCATCAACAATGGCGAAGGTATAAATATTGTAAGTTAGTTGGATTTGTTTTAACGTTTTCTGTTTCATTTTAAGCCGTCAACAATTCACAGCGTTCTAATTAATCAAAACAATAATCGAATTTGCGTGCCAAAATCCGTCATTGATGATGAATTTGATGGTGTTAAAGTTGAGGTTGGCAATTTCTTTTAGATATAAATGAGTTTCTTACTTTAGAAAAGGCAATAATTGAATAATTTTAGAATAGGGAGAGAACGCCCATTCATACAATACAATTATTATATAAACCATAACAATTTTTTTTTTATATTAGATCACTGATGTTGACAGTAGTTATCCGACGACAATTAGTTTAATGCGTTGTAAACATCAAGTTCTTCGTCCATATCGTCACCTGCTTTGTCTTGTAAGCGCACGCATAAAGGGTGAGTTTTTTTTTCGACCTTTGGAAGTTCTCTTACAAAGTCAGATTTTCGTGTTCTATATATCGTTCAGGGGACAGAGCATAAAACTTTATACAAAGGTCGAATGGATTAAACTGTAGTTTGAGATATTCTTTAGAATCACTTGTTAATATTTAGATTGGATGGCGACCATTTTATGCTGATAGCTTACTGAGACCATCGTTGACTGTACGAATTATAAATATTATTTATCCAATATTTATCCTTTTATTTCTACTCTATTCATACGCGTACGAAATTGTTGTCTGTCAAGGAAAATTAAACGTCATCACTGATACAGTCGTATGTAGACAATATTTAATGTCAACTATTCGTTTTTTGATACACGGAGTTCATGGATCTTTCAGATTATCACCACACCTCGTCCACCAGTAACAACAACAACAGAACCGGTGAAAAATCATACTATTATTATACCATGGGACACTATAGCCCCGGGTAAACCAATTGAAACAACAAATTTGTCAGTTGGTATTCAAAAAACACAATGTGGACATATTATATCCACTTATATTTTACCGGATATTCTACATTTAATATCATTTATATTTGGATACATTTATTTTCGTGTGACAGAAGGCGAACAGTTGTATTCATTGATGGAAAAAGTAAAGTCTTTTATTCAACCAAGAACAATTATCATTAAACTTATTTTCTAGGTATTCATTCATGCCGATCAAAATATTCGACAGTTTTCACCTAATCGTGTTATCAGACGTTTGAAGTATGTTCTAATTACATATCTTAGAACTAAACTTCTTTATCCCTATTTCTTTAGATGTAGTTGCGATTGTAACACTCTTCAAATCGTTTGATTTCGATAGCATACACACTTGATAATGATCGTATAAATACATTGAAAATTTGTTTTACTATAAGTTTAAAGTTGTCCGTAATAAACTTTTAACTATGTTCAACAGAGTCAAGGGTGTTATAGCCGCATTTACACTAAAATTTTTATTTCTTTTATTATCCTTCAATACTGGATATGTTCTTTAGAGTGTTTATGATTATTGGGTGTTTCTGGGTGTTCACTGCATTATCATCGCATGCTCTCTTTATGGTCGTCTATGGCATTAATGGTCTGACAATATTTAAAAAACGAGGACTAAAGTAAGTGCATTGTACTACATAAATTCTTTCATATACATCTTTATTTGTATAGACAACCAGCTCAATGGATATTATTTGTTCTTGAATTAATTGCACTTTTTATATCAAATTGTATTCATTTGGCAGTGGTTATGAACTTTGCCACACATTGTGAAATGATTATTTTTTATTGTAAAGCGATTCGAACAAGATTAGAAGAAAAATCATTGCAGTTAGTTGAAGCAATGAAAGTAAGAGTTTGACTTCTCACATAAAATTTATGATAATATTAATTATTTGTTTCTAGCAAATTTTGGATATTCGTAGTGCTATTGGACAACTGAATAGCACAGCATCAAAAATGATGTCAATTTTAATAGTTTTCTTTTTACAACGTATCGTTCTCGGTATGATAATTATAATTTCTTGCATTGCGTCTAATATTCAACTATTTATTTAGGTTCAGTGATATTAATATTTAATCGTATTGATCAACCATTAGTTTGGACTTACAGAGCAATTTATCCACTTGTTTGGTTATTCATTCTTGGATTTTGTTTAATACAAGTAAATAATAAATATCATTGTTATCATTGCATATTCTTTATTCAAGATATTCTATTCAGGCATGTCGTGTTACAGAAAAGTGTGATAAATTTTATAAAATTGGTTTATCAATGAGAGTTTACGGTTATCACACATCCACGTCGAATGAATTAGATTCTTTCATGTTATTTCTTTCTCAAGCTGAACTAAGGGTAATTTGGTGTTTCTTACGTGAAAGACTGTATCTTTACTCTTTTCTCATATGGGATGGTTGCAAGACAATTATACCATTTACGTCAAAAAATGACCTCGCATCGATCTCCTGTATTTCTGAACAAATCTCAATAGATTTTTTAGGGTACATGATGCATATCCATGTGTAACTTACCTTCTAAGACCAGCTTTTAGCCCTCTTTGCACATCTGATATAAAAAATGATGTTAATTTTTAATCTCAAATAGAAATGTCACCACCTGCTAGCGACAAATGTACGTCTTTTTATCAGAGAGCACCTTTAAAAATCCTTTTTTTACATAGGCGTTCGACACTGCTATATTTGATTGAGTTATGCCTGGTTTTTAATACGGGAAACTTAATAAACAATACGACAAGAGCAAAAAATGTCCCATCGTGGTATGTCGCTCATTTTTCTCATTCAGAATAAATTCAAATCTTCATCAACTTTTGCTAGAAGGTGGTCCATCTATTCGTTTACCGATACCACCAGGACATTTCACACATGGGAAACCAAATACTTTCCAAACCACTGACTTTGGTACTACAGAATCACTGTATGTTATTGCGTAATTGTCTTTTTTTGTGTCTCAAAAAATGGATTAGTCCATCAGGGGTATAGATATGAGTTTGAGATATTAGATCAGACGCTGTCATTTTTTCAAACTACGCTTTATGAAAGGCTAAGTTTTCATTTAGAATTAACTGAGCATTGACTGATAATGTCAGGACTTCTCTTAACATTGCACTCTATACAATTATTAATACCTCCCTTTTATCTTCATTTTTGAGCTCTCGAATCATCTAGGTTCATCATCAGAAAAATGTACAAAGAGCTGTAAAGAGAGATGTTATCTCTACGTGAAATTTGTACATATAAACAAATCTATGAAACAGTTCGTCTGACGATAGTTATACTAAAAGAAATACACGATGACAGGTACTAACAGAGAATGAGAAGAAATAAAATAAAAGTAAATTTTAAAAAGGACTAGATAGAATGAGGCTTTCTAGAATGAGAGATATATACAGAGGGATTCGTCAGTCAGAGAATTAAAGTAAAAATAATCATATCTCACCATTCTTCTCTAGTCCTAGAATGTTATATCTAGTTGTTTCATCAACTGGCTTCAAACAAATGTGTCGGTTTTTGAAAAAAAAATTATCCTAAACTGGCTTGTAATCATTTCTTATGTAACACGTCGTTTGGACTTTCAGAGACATTACACCAACTTTTGTTTTAGGCCAAGTTGTTCGCAGTGACTGTACGTCCTGGAACAGTGATTGGGATTGCTGTTACATGTTCACTTTTAGTTATAATACTTTTTCAAACATCAGTGGTCGCATCCCCAAATTTCTTTTTTTAATTGTCTCTTTTATTGCTTTATACTTTTCTATCCTTGTATAAAACATTCATCGCTTTTCTTCTGTTTTTTTTTGAATGATCAGATAATTAAATAAATAAAGAAAATATACGTTTTCCAACAAGCATTCAACAAGTTTTTCATTAATAAGTATTCACATACTAAATATTTCACGCTGCGACTTTCAGTTAAGGGGAGATGGGGGTCCCGTCTCGAGATGTATATGTGAAAAAATTGTCGTCATTTTCCGACAAGGTTTGGCGGAGAAATACGGATTTGACCTCCAGAATGCTTTTTTGGGGCTAAAAGTGTGCTTTTTCGCGATCTTGCCGGTCGTTTCTCTGCGGGGAAGCATTTTGGATCGAAAATGTGAGTGTAGAAGTTGTTTATCATGCTGTTTTCTATGGGACAGTACTCTTGTGTCGCTAAATTTGTTAAGGTCAATCTTTGAAATTGAAAAAACTGAGACGCTGCACTGAGGAAAAAAAGCGTTCAAATTTTTACGCTACTTTCTCTTTTCTTCTGGGCCAGAAGATAGTTTTCAGAAAATCTTCAACTCATAGAACATAGACACTTTCGCATACGGCATCGTACTGAAGTGTCGAAAATCGAAAAAAATAAAGGTTTCCAGGCCGGTTTTTCAGAGTTTCGGAGTGCAAAATCGTCCAGGACCTTGCACAGCGTTTCGCTTCAGAAAAGCATTGTGGAACAAAAGTGTAGGAACAAAAATTATCCAGCATCAAATTCTGCGTGAAACAACCGAAAGAATTTTTGAAATTCGTAAAACTCAATTTTTAAATTAAAATTCGCGAAAATTTAAGCTTTAAAAACCAGTATTTGGGGCTTTAAAGATCGAGTTTAAGACATTTCGAAAATTCCTTCGGTTGTTTCACGCAGAATTTCATGCTGAACAATTTTTGTTCCCGCACTTTTGTTCCATAATGCTTTCCTAAAGCGAAACGCTGTCTAGGGCTTTCTTAAAAATACTTTTTGCATAGAAATGATATGGGTAAGTCAGAGTCAAGTTTCTCCGTCAAACTTCACCCGATAACGACAAAAATTGCTTTTTATATAGATCTCAATATGCTCTCTCCAATGACGAAAGATGCAAGATTCTATCTCGAAAAATGAAATATTGATGGAAATTTTAAAATTTGGGCAAAAATCCTATACTGAACTTAAAATTTTTTTCTCAAAAGCTACGGATCCCGAAACCAAAAAAAGGCTTGAAGTGTGTGTTTTAAAGTGTGCTCTACAAACTGGTCGAAAAAATGGGTGAGAGGGGGGGGGGGGGGGGGGGGGGGGGGGGGGGGGGGGGGGGGGGGGGGGGGGGGGGGGGGGGGGGGGGGGGGGGGGGGGGGGGGGGGGGGGGGGGGGGGGGGGGGGGGGG